GGACAGGTCAGGCGCGCGCATGCGCAGTGCTCGACTTGTAGCGTCGAAGTCCCAGCCAGGCCTGCCTTAAGCATGGAGAGGTTCCCGAACCATTGCAGGCTCCGGCATAACGCTGAACTTTCCAATGTGCCAAAGTCCCACGAAACGTTTGCGGACGTCACAGTTTGAGCACCGGATTCAGAAGGGAAGGGACTATGACAGGAAACCTCAACAGGCATGGACAGAGCAGGTGTCACGTCCACAGCTCCCGCAGCTACAGGACCAGCACGGAATGGCAGCGAGCTCTCCTCCTGTTGCCTGAAATGGAACTCCGGGAGCTGACCAACGCAGTCTCATTCACCACTGCTCTCACTGCCAGCCGCCTGGATGCACAGATCCGTTCTGGATACTTCCTAGCACGTACACCGACGTGTCGAAACTACGAATGCCGACGGACAGCATCAGCAATGCAGGTGCTTTCGGTGTAAGCTGCCGCTGTCGATGTTACAAGTGCTCTGAATCTTCAAGGTGCACGGGGTTTGCAGTGGAAGACGTCGCTGATATTGCTGGGAGAAATCAGGAGGCAGGCACCGAGCGACTCTTGGTTCAGCCATGGATTCCTCGTCTTAGGTTCCCTACTTACGGCTCCCTCGCCAAGTAATTCTCTCGAGCGATGGTGCCCAATCGTCAGTTTGACCGTCGCACGCATTCACGAGTATGAGTCTGAGGTATTTGCGTACAACGCAGCACTCAGTGCTTGTGAAGGCCACGGTTTGTGGGAATGGGCTCTTCAGCTGATCGCCGCATGGCTACACCTGTGCTATTTGTGAACCCTGTCTTGTCGGCGATGTCGGTGTGGAGCTTGCACGTATCTAGAATCCAGTCTGAAAAAGCATCGACTCACGAAACACGACGATCCCTTCGGGCTTCAGGCCAGTGTTGTAAACACTTCTGCTTTCACACACGCTCTCTTGCAGACTGGCAGAGGGGATCACATCGCCTTCACTGCAGAGGTAGAGTTGTTCCGCTCTAAGGCAGAGCTCTCGACGGACCTGGAGCCTGACATGTTGGCGTACAGCACGGGGATGCAGCAGCTGCAAGCAAGTCTTGGGGATCTCTCTGGCAGTGGGCCTTAATTAACAGACCCTGTAAGCTTCCTGCTTCATTCACGCTTCCAAGTGATGTTGGAGCAAGCTGACCCGTGCTCTTTCGTTCAAAAGACATGCCCTCCTTTACCCTGCGTTGATCCTTCATTGAAGGCACTTGATCATGACAGCATTTGAGGATAAGCGCTTGTGCCAGAAGCGGAGCTTGGCAATGGGCACTGTGGTTGTTCCCAGCCTGCTTTTGTGAATTCCTTGCACATTCTTCGGCAGGTGTGCGGCAAGCTTGTTCTGCCAAGTTGCATCAGGGTGTAACATTGCTGTTCGAATTCCTAGTGCCAGCAGGGACTTGCTGCAGCATGCAGGTTGCATCGGCCTTCATCGAGGGACCTCCTAAGCTGAGTCTGAGAGTGAGCTGTATTGTTTTGAGTCACCGAATTCCACCAAGGTTTTCGGTCCTTGGCCGGCGAGACGCACAGTGGAGCGCTGTCACCTGCAACTCGCTCATAAGAGCATGCGCCAAGGGCAGCGACTTGGCAACAGTTTTTGGAGTTGTTCGGAAGAGTCGAGTTTCAGCATGTTCACGCAGATCGCCTTCTACGCGTACCGGCGAATTGGGTGGGGGGGGGGGGGCATTGTAGGCTCAGGGCACGACCAGGCACGATTTGTTCAAAAGGCAAACAAAGTTTGCTGGGCCGTGACATGGACCGGCTACGTGGCTGTAGAGCGGCAACCTGTAAGGATGGTGGTGTTTGCATTGAGCCTTTCCGGACGAAGACAGCACTGTTCAGTTTCCAGAAAATGCAACCAAAGAACAACCAATACCATGACGGGACGCATGAGGCATAAGGGTAGATACCTGAACCGGCATCGCATTGCATTCCCCTCTCATCAAGCCCCGGATGCTCCAGCGTGCATCAGTCGACCAACACAGGATCACTGTAGCCAAAAACGAGGCTGGTGTCAAGCTGCACAACCCAATGGTGGCTGTTCCCACTATCCGAAGTTGTTTGGAGGAGGACAGATTGCCATCATCAAGTTCAGAAGCAATGCGAGGGCTATACTGCAGCGGGTAGGACAGCCAGGAAAGATCATAAGCACACTATGTACGATGGGCTCAACACCAGTAATTGGTGTCCAGCTTCAAGGACCGTAGGCGGTGAGAAGTTGATGCAAAAGGGGACAAACTTTGGAAGAGATGAAGCTCTGAACGATCTTCGACGGCAAGCCGATCGATTGGATGGCTTGCTCGCTCAGAAGGTGGTGAGCCCTGGGCCCCACCAAGAAACTGGGTGCAGCCACAGCCAAAGCAGTGGTGGATTGTCGTTTGGAAGTGTGTCTTCTTTGACTACGTGTGCGTTTCCTGTGGGTCTGTCTGACTGACAATGGGCCTCCCAAGCCCTTCGCAAACCTTTAAAAGTATGGCGGGTCCCCACAGGTGGTGTTGTTCGAGTGGAGGCCGCACTTCCAAGCACATCAATGCCCTTAACCTTGGGAAGCTTACATGGCAGCTGGACCCAAGGGCGGTAGAGTTGTGTCAGACTGCAGGCCACTACGGCCGAGTGTTTAGCCCTTCGTAAGCACCAGCTTTGCGGCGCCAATCCAACCGTCAAAGTTCGTCCGATATACGATGTCAGCCTTTGAGCTGAGGAGGCCCTTGGCCGAAGCCCGTGCGAAGAACTAAAACTTTTCGTGGCAGTATACCCAGTTTACGCATTATCAGGCTGAGACTGGTCAAAAGGCTCCGCGCGTGATGCCACCAATTGGGTGTTGGCTCTCAAAAGTTAACCGACTATCTCCGGAAAAGAAGGAAGTATACAGTGGCTATCTGACGCTTGCGACTTCGATCCCCCCCCCCATATCAAAAGGAGCTAACGTTGTCGGAATCTTGGCCGTGGCGGCCCTAAGGTTTTATTGCGTGGCAGGACTCGCTGGCCAACATTCCAAAATCCCAGTTGCGAAGCAAAGGGTTTAGGGGTTTAGGGTTTAGGGTTCATGTCATGTGACTTGGGGCTTGCTTCGCAGGCTTGCATGATCTAGTCGGACGTTTGCACTGTTGGCTTCGGCTTGGTGCCCTCTTAGTGCAACAGACCGAGCGAGAAGCGCTTCTGACGCCTCTACGCATGCAAAACACTGTTTCTGACAGGTTGCATCTTGTAAGTTTAGGATTTAGGGCTTTAGTGTTTAGGGTTTTGGTGAGTTGTAAGAAGAGCCGAGGTGTGTGGCGCAGAGCTCTGGCCTTGCTGGCTGAAGCTCGAACACAGCACACCGAGGTAAGGGCCGGGGATCAAAGGAGGGGCGGGGCAGCAGGCGATTGGAAGTCTTTCTAGCATATTCAGATCATATTCACTTGGGTTTCGCAAGGTTGGAACACGCACTGTGCTCATTAAACAGGACCCGGTATTCGACGACTTGCTGAGCTAACCGCAACTGCTTGCACCTCCTGAAAGTGGTGCATTAAGAGGTGGAGCTCATCGCCTACAACGCTTGCATCAGCGCTTGCGAGAAGGCCGGCAGAACCCCAGAAACTTGTTCAGGGTGGTAAAAGCGTCGCTGAAGAAGAGTTCCTGATGTTCGTAGTGCTCGGCCCTTGCATTGGTGGAAGCTTGTATGGGTTGCAAGTGTTGTGAATGCTTCTGTCTGTGAAGACTAGAGTGCAGCCTTCGAGAGGCTGCCAAGTGGGAGCAATCCCTGGCAGTGCTTCGCATCCTCGAAGGGTCGCCAGGGCTTCAAGCAGATGTGACTCCTGGCTTCTCCAGCCTTTTCAGCAAGAGTCTTGCTAAACCAAGAGCGAGAAGACTCCAGAAGTTTTGGGCCTGAGTGCAATGAGAGGGAGGCAGGGAGAGAGAGTGTGAGAACTTCATTCTTTCACTACCAAGACAGAGCCGAGTTCAATACAGAGCCGAAGGTTGCCCGAAGCTGCTTACAGAGATAGAGTCCCACGCAGCCCTGCAACTCCAATGCCTGAATCAACTGTCTCTTGAACTAAGTCCGGGGTCCGTCTCCCCATTCGCCTCTTTCCTCCGAGTAACATGGCCTTCTAAGCGTTTCTATGGGTTCGCTAAAGGCTTCTGGACAAAGCATGTAGTAGAACTTGATGACGAAGGCCAAGAAAGCCAATAAAAGACAAAGACCAGGCACTCAAGGATTCCATCGGTTCTTGCGAAGGCTACGTGGTTTCAGTCAAAAAAGATGAGCCTGAAACCTGCATCTTTAAGCTTGACCGAAAGTCATGAACATTATCTTGGTTCGGGTTACCGTTCACGGGCCCTTGGCATGCATAGCCCCAACTGTGGCACAGCAGAATAGAAGCAGAATTGAAGAGTGGCTTACCAAAGTATTGAGTAGGCATTTTGTCAGAACAACAAACAAGCATGGCGCCGCTGCAACAGCAGGGTTTGGAGTTGAAGCTGGTCAGGCTATCAAATCTGAGAAGAGCCGTAAAACTCAGCGACTCAGAGAGGATTAGCATGGCTCCGGGACATCAACGCCCCTATATACTCCAGGGAACCGCCCATACCTGAGAAGGATCACTCCCAGGAGATAGCAGGTTGGAATCCAGCGATTGCGTGGAAGGACCCTGAACTGAGGTAGGGCTCCTGCAACAATAAGCTCTTACTCAACATTGCTCTCACAGAAGCCTGACTAGCCCGTTTATCATGTGCAAGTGGATTTCAGGATTTCCTTCAACGCAGCCATCAGCGCCTGCGAGAAGTGCGAGCACTGGGAGGAGGCCACTGCTTTCCTCTTTCGCCGTCATCTTAGACTTCATTCAGTTTCCAGACAGTCTAAAGCCTGATGCAGGTTGGGGAGGCTGAGCGCTGTGCATGCACTCATCCCGTACAGTTGCACTGAACAGCGAGGCTTGTCGGCTTCCCAGCCATTTGCCAGAGCAAAGTAGCTGACCGCATCGGATCCATGGTGGATTACAGCAAGTTTGACAAGATTGCTGTGGATTCATCCGACTCAGACGATGCGGCGGCTGTTTGCGCTCCCACACGTCCGGCAGGCCAGCCGCGGAGTTTGGGCAGATCCTCCTCAGCCAAGCAGCAGCAAGAGGATTTCGCTTATCCGACTCGAGGCCAGGGCATCGTGTCCTTTGACATACGGGATGAAGCTTGTAGGCGCCATGGGTACTTGCATGGAGATGTGGTTATCACAGAGAACGGGCGGGTCTCCACCGCCATTGGCGTCTACGATGACATGCTATGGTTCCATGTGGAAGGTTCTGATGGTGCTGGCATTTGGGTGAATGAAACCCTCAAGAAAATTGGTCGCACCACCCTCCGGCCTGGCGCGTCCAAGGAGGCCCCCACACTTGCATCAGAGTGGCTGAATCTGGATTTCTTATACACTGCAGGGGTCACAGTGTCGTCAGCCGAAGTGGTGCCGTTCGACATCCGCGATGAGATTTGCATGTCGGTGGGTGGCTTCAAGCATGGACAAGTTCTTGAAGTACCAGGCATCCGCAAGCCGGTGGTGACTATCGGAGTCCGTCGCGATCGTTTCTGCATGGCCTTGTGGTTCCACGTCAAGGGTTCACCAGGGGCTGGCAGGTTTGAGGAAGGTGTCTTGGGCAAGGCTCGCGTGAAAGGGCACCAGGTGGTGCGAGAGCACACCATGCCTCTCGCCGCTTCAACTGCCAGCCCACCAGCCAGAACAGAGAAGGCGAAAGACGGGGGAGAGTCGGCGGAGAGCCAGAGGCTGTTGGAGCAGCTCCAAGCCGAGCGCAGGGCTCGACAGGAGGCGGAGGCAGAGGTCAAGAACCTTCGCAAGAAGCTCGAGAAGCTACGTGCTTCAAATGCCAGCCTTATCAAGTCCACGAGCAACAGTGAAAGACAGGCAGTGCGCAAGGATCGAATGAAGCGCGACGTCATTGCCAGCGAGGTGGAGGCTGAAACGAAGGAGCGCCTGTCACTCGCATGTCGTGCTACGGCTCTAGCGACTACGAGTGACTCTAGTGTTGCGTTCTACGTTCTCCTTTGCCTTCAGCCAGGAGCGCCTCATGGTCGAGCTGGTGCGGCCAAAGCTGGCAGAGTTGGCCGACCTCCGCCAGGAGCAGGACGCGGAACTTCGCCAAGTGCAAGCAAAGCTCTAGCTTTACTTATCACTCACGGCAGAACAGGCTCCCGGAACGCTGCAGCAAGCCCTGATAGGCTAAGCCGGTGTTGCAAAACCTGGCAGGAATCCGTCCAAAGACGCTTGCAGAATAATGTGCTGGACACACAGCGTTTGCGCGAGGAGCTGTCGGGCCGAGATTTCTCAATGGTTTGGGCTGTCCAAGGCTGTCGTCTTCAAGCCCCTCCCTCCGAATCATGACTTCTACTGTAGACCCCTGGCCAGGAGCTTGAACGTCGAGAAAGAGAAGCCCTGCGACTCCGTCAAGAAGCCACTCGCTTGCACCAAGCTTTTTTGGAAACTCCAAGGCATCACACCCTAGGATTTCCTCTTCTTTTCGGTGCGAAAGAGGCCTTGCGCTTGGAAGAGCGCATCGAGAAGGAATCCGCCGAAAAGACGGCCCTGGCTCGGCAGCTAGGCTCGCAATCGCAGGCAGGGCCTAAAAGGGATGGACCCCATATTCTGGAGCAGTCAGCGCACATCTAATGGATGCCTATATCAAAGGCACCAGCAACGTGACGGTGTCCTGTGAGGGTCGAAGCTACCAGGTCGATTTCACATTGCAGATGCAGCTGAACCTGTCCACAATGAAGCGCCGCCGCATTCGTTGCAATCTGGGTTTGCCGAAACACTGGCAGATGAGCAATGAAGAAGGGCTGAAGCTGATACGAGGTGAGCCTTTATCTGATCAAGACTCGGTAATCTCGGGAGGCATCTCTGTGCGCACTCGACTAACTACCATCAGTGAGGCGGCAGTCATGGCCATGCAAGTGCCTTTCAAAAGACATGTCATCAAAATTTCAGAGGCCGAGACCTTGGAAGAACTCGAGGGACTCCTAAACAAGTCCTTGAGGCGTCACGACGGAACAGTCTGCCAGTGCCTTCACGGAGAGTCTGCCTACAGATTGCTGGAAGCCTACCAAGTGCGCAACCCGTACCTATGGCGTCGATTCCAGCGGTTTGGCAGAACCATCCGCGACAAGCAGCTGCAGTTTGGGATCACACCGGAAGGAATACAACCGCCTGTTGGACATGCATTGGCCAAGCTCGCGAAGCGGCTTGACGTTGATGTTGACCGCAACGAGCGGTTGTTATTCCATGGCACGAAACACTTTGGCTACGCCAAGGCTATAGCCACCGAAGGTTTCGACAACCGAGTTGCAAAAGAAGGACTTTACGGAAATGGGACGTATTTCGCCGCGCAGACATGCAAAAGCGCTCAGTATGCTGCACGAGGGGCCATGACTGGAAAGGTCTCTAGCCATCGCCCGGGGACCATTAACGTGGCTCGGGTTGCACTCGGCGATCCGTTCTATACTGCCGGTGCATATGACGGATCTCGCTGCCTGGCAGCATGATATTGCTAGTAAGAAGTCTGCTGTCCACTCGTTTTGTGTTGTTGTGAGTGATGTGCTTCGAATGAGGTCCGCCCACGAAATCTTTCAACCATTCAGATTCGGACGACTCTGACCAGGAGGATGCTCGGGACATCATTTGCGACTCACTCATTGCACGGCCTGGCATCAAACGCGGAAATCTGGAACAAAGCCACATGGAGATCGTGACATTTGCACCAGAGCAGGCCTACCCTGAGTTCATTCTGCGCTTTGCTGAAGACTGACCGGAAATGCCGGAAACTTTCCAGCTCCTATTATGTGCTTTGCTGCTTGGCTCCAGCAACTTCAAGCCTCACAGTGACAACTGCACTGCTGGTGCAGAAGTTGTGCAGCCAAGCGGCTAGGATTTTTCCCATTGCCCAATCCGGGCACAAACCAGCTTGCGGTGTTTTTTCGCATCAAAAGTGTGGCACAGGTCCGAAGTCCGAAGTCTCAGCCGGCAGTGAAAGGGGAATGTCGTGAGCGGTGTATTTTGCGATTGGAATGCACTTTTTTTTCGCCAAATGGGCACATGGCTTGCACACTCCTGCGAAAGGCACTGTGGCTGCTTGGGGAGTTGCGGGTGAAGTCGATCGAGCCCAGCGCTGCTTGGCTGGTGAGGCTGCGATACCTGTTGTCCTAAACTCTCTTCGGTTGTTCCGACTTTTCGAGATGCTTTTGGCGCGGAAAGCTCCTGGGCCTGAGACAACCACAGGCACGATGATGCCGTTCTAAACACTAGCACTCCTTTACTGCCTTTACTGAACCATCTTGCAACTTCTGAGTTTGCCCGGACCCCTGATACCAGGGCATGGAAACCCCCGAATATTTTGGACAATTACCTATACAATCTTGGGGGGGTTCCTTACTACAGTTACGGTCGCATGTACCCCAAAACCCTATTCTAAGTATCAAGGCCCCTTGTTTTAGCCGGAGTACCCCAGTGATGCCTCGCAAGGTCGACTCGTGACACTTCCTGATTCCGAAAAGCTCCCCCTCCGCTGCGTGGACTTAGGTCATAACTTACAACGCTGTGATGAATGCATGCAGAGGAGGAGGCGCCACTTCCAAAGAATCAATAAAAATGTAAGTGTGTGCGGATCTATACACACATGTATATATATATATATACATACACATATACTCATACTTTTAAAGAGAGAGATGTGTGCATATGTATGCACACATTTACTTATATAGGCATAGATATTTGCAAAACTGCTGGAATGTGTTACAGTGTTGCAATGCCTTCAACAGGATTCGTGTTCCTGTGCCGTTGTGTTGAAGTTTGCTATCTACTGCGGGGCGTTCTCCACGGCCCTGTGTCCCTGCAGGTCATCGGCATGTACCTTGGTTTGAAAGATCACCTGCATGTCATGCCTTGTCCTTGCCACGTGTGGTGTTTCTTTCGCTGGCAGTTGTGATCCTGGCTTTCCTTGAAGGTTATTTCGAAACGCCAAGACCAGAAAAGCCTTAAGCCATCACGACGGGGTGGAGCCTACGTGGGATCTTATCGCTGGCTCTTCTTGTTTCGCAGCAGGTGGTCTTGAGCACCACCAAAATGCAAGCGACCACGCAAAGCTTTGAAGTCGGAAAGCCCAAGTCGGAGCTTGCGGATGGTATGATAAGACAAGGGTATGTCGGTCCTACTTGACTGCTTATGATTATGCTATGTAGTAAACCTTCAACCCTGAAGCCTCGCATGCGTGTGTTGAAGACTTAGACGCGTTGAAGGGCAAAGTCCAATTGAATCTCCCTGCGGCCCCGAAGTCCCAAAAGTCTGCCTAGTCCGACCCAACAGCTCGGATTTCTAAACCCTAAGAATAGGCTACGGCTCAAGATTCTTCTGAGAGCAGCTGCCAACCCCAAGGAGCCAAGACTGGAGGTCTACGACAGGATACTTCAGTTAAACTCCAGCTCTTCTTGCAGCTTCTAGTTGTCGTCTCAACCGACGCCATGACGGATTTAAAACCCTGTCAGCTGCTCCTTTGCTCGGCAGCCACTGTCGACATCATCTACCCCAACCCGATTGCATTCGCTGCAAAGAAATCGGATGGCAGCGTGGTGACTTGGGGTGATTCACAGACTGGTGGTGACTCGAGTTCTGTCAAGTGGAGAACTTATGCACCTAGGACCTGGCCATCACACCAGACAAGACAGTATGGCAGCATGGGCAACGAGGAAGGTTCTGCAGGCGATGGAAACGATTGTTCCTAGCAGCCGCAGCAACGCCCCCCAGCAGCTGGACTTCAACTTCGACACATGCACATTGGGCGACATGATGAACGCAGTGTTTTGGAAGAAGATTGGAGACCTGGGGATTGAGCTTGGCCACAATGAGGCTTCAGGCGGTGCTGCTTTGGCAGACGGGCCACCGCCGCGCCGGCCGCCACTTCCGCGGCGGCGCCAGCAGAGTAGATCGAGGACCGGGGCCATTTAGGAGGCGCCTGGGTTAAGGGACTCGTCATTTTGCAACCCCGCTAGGAGAGACTGTGACTTGGTCCCATACCCCGATGAACCTAAGTGTGTAATGTTTCGCATCTGCCGCCCACACGTTGGTTGAAGCCGTTTAAACACGTTCGGGCCACAGGTGGCATATGTTTAAGCATTTTGTGTTTTATCATTTTTGTTTTAAACCGTGTAGGGATGTTCGGCCACAAGTGGCATGCATTTAAACATTTCGCGTTTGAGTTGTGGTTTAAAGCGTGTGAACACTTCCGCCGCCCAAATCCTGTCGAGGACCCCGCCAACAAGTCGTCCAACTCCACGCGACGCGACGAGCGGCGCAGAGCAAGGAGTCCACCAACTCGCGAGGCTGGGATGAGCCAGCTGCAACGAGGCATGCTGGAGCACATCAGCAAGGAAGCAGAGCATTTCCAAGTTCAGCGCACCAAGTTCAAACATGTTGATGTCAGGGATATAGAGACAAGCAGTGAGACCATCAACAGCGCAACATATCTTGACTTGGTACATGACCTCCAGTTGGGAAGGCAGGTGGACACACTGCCTCCGTTGGTGGTGATCAAGTTCGTCGAAACAGCAGTCCATGTGGCGGTGTTTGGAAATACGCAGCTGCAAGCAGCAAAGGAACATCAGCAGCGGAGCAGAGGCAGAGGAGACTTGCAGCTTAGGTGTGTCGTCTTTGAAGATGTCAACTTCCTTGGCGAAGAGAAAGTGCTCGCACCTCTGGCTGGCAAACTGGTGCTGCAGTCGGAGGATCAGATGGCCTGCTTGCATCGTTTCCTCGCGAACAAGCGTCACGCAGCAAACGATCCCGCAGAGACGGGAAGCAGCGTTCTACACAAGTTCAAAGACAACGTGCGAGTGGTGGATGTCAAAGACATCCGTCACTCTCACGACGCTGTGAACATGCACTTCGCGCATGGCGCGCACAAGGGACAGTCAGTCCAGACACTGGTGGAGGATCTGATTTCAGGGAAGCTCACGCCGAGAGACATCACGCCACTGGTGTTGCTCGAATTGAAAGAGGGAGAATATTGGACTATCTTTGGAAATAGGCGCCTCAAGGCTTTGACGCTTGGCGAGACTTTCCTTATTCTTGCATGAGCAGGTTCAGAGCTAACGGTCTGCATTTCAGCGCCCGTAAGCGTTCTTTCATCGACTTTATGTGAGGAAAAAGTTCGGCGAGCGCAAGCGGCATCCTGGTCCTGTCTTGATGGATTGCCTGGTGTGGGACAAGGCATGGCATTCCAAAACACTGAACGACTACGCCGCAGTGAAGGGGTCGATTGAAGCACGCTTAGGTTTCAACGGCTTAAACTTAAACAGGTTTAAACATGTCTGGCCAGTCGGTGGATGTTTGTTTATCGGTTTAAGCAGTGTGGTCACATTTACATGTTTAAACCACGGTTAGACGCACTTGTGCCAACTCCCGGAGTGACACATGTGTTTAAACCCCATGTTAAAACGCATGTTTAAACAGTTGCCTGAGTGCCACACATCCCGATGGTGTTTAAGCACATGGTTAAACACATGTTAACACTCTCAGAGTGCCACACATCCCGAAGGTCTTTAAACCAGTGTAGACACACGATGAAACAGTTCCCTGAATGCCATATATCCCGAATGTGTTCAAATGGATGACTACACGCACGTTTAAACAGTTCCCAGAGTGCCACGCATCCTGAATCCGTGTGAACAAATGTTCAAGTATCTGTTTAAAAAGTTCCCTCAGTGCCACACATCCCCAATGTGCTTAAACCTGTGTGTAAACACAGGCCTCAACAGTTGCTGAGTGCCGCACATCCCGGATGTGTTTAAATCCATCTTTGAACACATGTTTAGGCAGCTCCCTGAGTGCCGCACATCCCGAATCTGTTTAATCCGATGTTCCAAACTATTTGGTTAACCAGTTCCCTGAGTGCCACGCATCCCCAACGTGCTTAAACACATGTTTCAACAGCCCGAATGTCTTTAAACCCATGTTTAAACAGTTCCCTGAGCCCCTCCGGTGTCGACACTTCCACCGACAAAGCCTTTGTGCAAGGAATTCGGATGGCAGCGCGGTGACCTGGGGTTCTTCAGATTGGGGTCGGGACTCTGGTTCTGTCAGCAGCCACTTGACGTCTGGCAGCGAAACCATCTACTCCAACGGATTGGCCTTTGCCGCAAAGAAATCGGATGGGATTGTGGTGACTTGGGGTGATGCAAAGTATGGCGGGGACTCGAGTTCCGCCAGCAGCCGCGGGATTTTGGTGTCGACATGGCCTATTCCACCGATTCGGCCTTTGCTGCAATGAAATGAGATGGGAGTGTGGTGACTTCGGGCTATCAAGCAGCTCAAGTTCCGTCAGCGGCCAATTGACCTCTGGTGTCCACATGATGTACTTTACCGCTTCGGCTGCAAAGACGTCCGGTGGGCAGGTGGTGACTCGGGGTTCTGATCGCCTTGGCGGGGACTCGAGTTCTGTCAGCAGCCAACTGAGTTCTGGTGTCGACACCATCTACTCCAATAGTGCGGCCTTTACTGGGAAGAAGTCGGATGGGAGTGTGCTGACTTGGGGTGATTCAGATCGGGGTGGGGAATCGAGTTCTGTGAGCAGCTACTTGACTTCGGGTGTGGCCATGACAGATACCACAACACCACCAAAGTTGTGCCCTACAGCCACCACGGCCGCCACAATGACTACGGCCACGACGACCACCACGATGACTAAGACTACCTCGCCAACACCGACCATGCAAAATCGCATTTCTGTGACAATGGGCTCGCAACTTCCAGTCTTCGTTAGGGTTCTTTGGACACTTTTGTAGTGAATTTTTGTACCGGAAAGACTGTCCCGAGTGTGAATGTGTGAAGTTCTACCCGTGCACATCACATTGAGCACATGCCAGTTTTGCTTTGAGTCATGTGTTACACAGTGTTTCACACACTGCTTCACTGTAAACTACTTCTAGCATCCAATTGGTGCAAAACCAAGGCAGAGTCTAGACTCTAGACCAAACTCAGGTCGAAGGTCATAGACATACGTTGAGTGTGTTGAAGCTGGACTTCCCTTTAGTGACAAGCCAACGACTCCTTTTAGGGACTTGCGCACATATGGCCACCGTGATGGAACAGGTGCCGAACTGATTCCCGTCTTCTGGAGTAGTAGTTGTGCCAGTGAACCTCAGTGAACCGAGAGACCTCATCTGACGGAGTCCGAGTTGCGAGAGCCTAACACCTGAACCCTAAACCCACCGACATCTGCAGTTGGGGTCTTGAATGCATGGCCTCTGTTACCCTAACTTCCCTGCAATGCGGGCATGTCCTGGCTATGTGGGAAGAGGGACAAAAAAAAGCCCCCGAAAACTTCCAGCCCAGGCCCTTGTGGACCTCCTTTGGGACTCCGAGGACCTCCGAGGCCCGGACTCCTTCCTCTGGGCCTTGGCAGCCGCGGGCATCTCCGAAGCCGAGGCCTGGAGAAAGTCTCCGAAGTGCCCCCCTTGCTGTCTTGTACAGTCTTATTCTCTTATTCTCTCCTATGTTTTATGTTAGTTTCTTTTTATATTCTAACACAGCATTGTATATGATATGACATTACATTCCATTACATATACAATGTTACGGGATATTGTGCTACGTTATAATATATTATATATTGCATGTTATATCATATGACTCCAGAACCCAAAAGCAGACTGACCAGGTCATTCATGAAGCCTGCGTGGAGGTGGCAACGAATTTATTTCATGGTGAGGACGCCAGACCAGTCGCAGCATTGCAGTTGTCTGCATGGGTGTGGGACGAAACTTTACTTCGGAGGCTAGAGCCCATCTATGAAGCCTCTCAGTCAGCCAAGCAGCGAGAGCCCTCCATGCAGGATCCTGGTTCCTTCGGACGCTTGTCCAGGGTCCTGTGGTCCATGGAGACCTTGGGCGCATCGAGCCGTCAAGTTTGCAGGCCCTCGGAAGAAGCAGCAAATCAGCACTTAATTGCATGGAATCCTGGTGAAGGTTCCACCTGAAGATTAAGAGCGATACAGTGCAAAAGTAGCAGTTGTCGTGGCCATCATGGTGTGTGTGTGTGTGACCTCTACGCAAGCAGTGCAAATGCCACTAGTTGCGTAGATGCTGGGTCATGGCCACGGACCCACCGGCCCACCTTGTCAAAACTCGGCTGTCGTTCCGATTCGTCGACCCCAATCTCCTTTAGTCTCGCCATCCCGAGCTGTCATTGTTCAGAGCGCATCGTGTCAGATGCCGAGAATCAAGGAAATCTGCACAGTAATGGACATTCCCGGCATCACTTGCCCCTCGAACAAGAGCTCTTTAGATGCCAGAAACGAAGCCAGGGAACCAGGAAAACGCAGAACATCACGGAACCTGGCAATTCGTCGGCACCGCAGGTCGATGAGTCGAAGGCTCTTGCAAGAAATCAACGGCGCTGAGTTGGAGGAGATTGCAATGGTCGCGTCCCGGCTGGGTTCATTTCTGGGAGGTCCCAAACACTTCTCATGCTTTACAGAACCACATATGGTTGTGTTGCATACGTTGGCTGAGACAGTCGAGACAGACTCGGTTAGTTCACCGGACCCGCTTGCGGCTACTGCACTGCCCCTCGAACCGAACAAACCTCGCCTGCATTGTCCGAGTTGCCAGAGCATGCGAGAGTCCACAGCCCACAAACACTACAACCCAAAAGCCGATGGAGCAGCGCGATGAAGAAGATGGAGTCTGAATGAATTGAATGACTCGCCAGGTGTGGCCTCTGGTCTCGGGCGACGCGGATCTTTCAACAGCTGCAGCGATTCAGAGGAGGGTGGAGAGCCAGCTCAGGCAGTTGAGGCGTGGGGAGCTGCTTGATTGTTGAGGGATGTCGAGGGCTTTGGATCAGCATCTCCGGGCTCGGGTGCACGTGTTGCTTTCCGAGTGGCACGTTCAGGTATATTTGCCTTGCTCCAATTGCTGGGCGAAAGACTTGTAGCCTTAAATATTTCCTGTAACGTGTAGAAGCGTGCCACATGTCAAGAAAGAGGTCCAGCGAGCTAGCACGTACGTCCTGGCCCTCATCTCCTGTTCTTGTGGACCGCGTCCCCGTTTAGAGATCTAGCCCGAACCACTGTGCTACAGCCGAAATACAAGAGAGCTGAGAAGCCACTTGATGTCTCCTGAGGCGGACTTCACCAAGTGGGTTGATCTTCCAGCGTCTGGGCATCTCCGTGATGGGTAACTTGGCAGCGGCCCTGCACTGCAAAGCAAGAGAGGCCCTGGGCTTTCGCTGATTACCTTCGGAGACCCCCCTTTGAAAGAAACGGAGAAAAGTCAGAACGCAGGGCTTAGCTTAGGCATTAAGGCTTTAAGGGGATCCATTGACCCTGCTGAGGCATCGCAGGCTCCTTTGCCATGGCTGGGCGCTTGCCCCGGAGCTTCCGAGCTTCGCTGCAAAAAGCGCTGCTGCAAACCGGCATCGACTTGGACAAAAGAAGCTCGACCGGAACGAGCTAAGCGGCAGCAGAGCCAGACTTGATGCAGCGTAGCAAAACTGAATCGTTCATCAAGCCATCTGCGTAGAGATCGTAATCCTAGCCTCATCTGCATGCATATGTGTTGGAATTAAAGCTGGCAGCCCGACAAAGAAGCACCAAATGCCAGCCAGATTTGCCGCACACCCCCCTGGTAGGTAGCCAGTAGCTGTACTTCTCAACTGCCAGTTCGACTTCCACAAGTCAAACTGTCCGATGAAAGCCGATTTTTTCTACTGCCTGTGGCATCCACACTAAGGAAGCAACGTCAAGATGCGGACCAGCCTGCTCCATGGGCCTTCTGAACATGAACTTGGGTCTGCATTAGGCTATGGTTATGGATGCACCAGCAGAATATGAGGATGCCTCTTCTCTAAGGTGCACCGTAGAACAAGGGCTGGGTATAACAATCCAAGTCAAGCCTGTTTAGGCTTCCAGTGCTGTTTCATATCTTATCAACGGAAATGACCGCGGCCTTAATGACGAAAACCTTGCATTCCAATTTGCACAGTTGTGAATCCGCTGGAACAGGCAGTGCATGTCTTGCTTCGTGACATACTACTCACTTCTCGGCTTGCCTGTTGCGATTTGCATTAATGTGTTGCTGACGGCATTGTGGTTGATCACGATCCGCATTGTGAAGTTGTCGTCAGGTCATCGTCGTTGTACTACAGCCGTCTAATTCCATGCAAACCAGAAGCGAGATAGCAACACCTCTTCGCACTTCTCTACCAGTGCAGGAATTTCCAACTACTCGGAGTTGCATGGCATAATCTCAAAGTGCGAACATCGAGGACGACATGTCGGCGACGGTGGTGTGGGACCAGCCGGACCGAGCCGTTTTCTTCAAGCCCCCTGGATGGGAAGTCTATGGTGCCCATACGAATCGCCAGATGCCACTGAACTGCAGTGGGTGTTCTGGCAGTTTGTTCTGTCACGATATTTTAGAAGATTGCTGCATGCTGCGTGTCTCTGAGCGCACATGCAAGGCGTACCCACATCCATACATGCGTGTGAGCATATGCTGGTATGCGATCGGTCGAGATGGAGATGTGTGTGCGTGTGTGTACATATAGGTATGTATGTATGTATGTGTGTGTGTGGGGAACTCTGTCACCAAGAGTCCTTTTCATTTGTCAAGTATTGCAGGGGACCACCGGAGTTTCGAGCGCCCAACCGGCAAGTTGAGGCACAATGTGTAGCACAGGCTAGCTTCGGACCAGTTCTCTTGGGTGCCTTAAGCAGAGGTCGTGCAGCAGATGTTAGCGAGAGTTTCCGCATGAAACCTTGAGGTCGTCTTTCGCTGCCAGTCACTTCGGCAACTGGGTAGCAGAAGCAGAGGGCGACTATGAGTGTGTGCATGTGTACGTGTGTGATGTGAAGTAAAAGGGCAGCTGCCAAATGTGGATGAACAAGTCGCAGCTCCAGAAGCCAAAAGCAACACACTAATTTGCCCGATCAAGTGGGAGGAGCTGCATGGGTTCCAGGTCATACTTATCGGTCGTGTGTTGCACAGGAATCGCTTGGTTACGAGAGAAGCACTTCAAAGCTGCCAGCGGAATCGCGCGGAACGCCGGTCGAGACCATCGCTGCGATACTTCTTACGCACAGACTGAGACTCACAAGTATGACAGCTGAAGTGCACAAGCACCATCCTTTGACTTGATAATCGCGGTCATGGGGGTACACATGCGGGTTCAGCTTCGACGAGGCTGCAATCAGCAACTCTTGTTTCCATTATTATCATGGAGCATCACGGTGTCTACGGGGCTTTGGAACAGGGTCAGCTGTCAATGACACCTGCGAAGGCAGCCTGCGCATCCTCAGCGATCCTGGCCGCGTGACAGATCTGTGAGATGCTTCAGTAACGAATTCAGGAATTTAGCGGGCTGGGCGTGAGCGATATTTGGCCAAGACAGGTGCGACCGGGGTTCTTGACCGTGGAAGTTGCTGAATACCAGCCAGGTTTGCTGGCACATGAAAGATGACGGAAACGTGGCTTGTGGCTTTAAGGATAGGCGACTACATTCCAGAAGTAGGGAAGCAAGTCTTGTGCGCAGTCGGATCCTGACGGCTTCTCAGCATCTTAAGCATTGCAGCGTGTGCTTGGGCACAAAGAGCGAAGTGCTGTGCAAGTATATGCCGAGGTCACAACTTCGGCTTCTTGCACCGTCTGGATGTGCCGAGTTCAGGACTGGCTGCATCGCTTAGTTGACGGCACATTGCCTGGCGAGCTTGTAGCGCCTCACAGGAAGATGGACCGGGCATGTGCGACATGCGGGGATACGTTTGAACGCACATCGCACCCGTGCATTCACAAGCCAACTCCCTTTGCTTCACTCATGCTATTACCTCTGCGCGCGTATGTGGGTGGCTGGGTTATGCTGGGTTGTTGGGTGGTGATTAACAGGCCCATGTCGTTACACCGATGCGGGTGTCCTTTTGTAGCGTGTTCGTTTGCATGTGTTTGCCGATCTGGGGTCAACTGATGAACAGCTGTAGAGGGAAGCCTGGCACAGCAAGGACAACAGCGACCATCCCTGACATTAGCTTCATCCGGTCTCATCGTCGCAATTTCGCTTCATCGAAGCATGGCTCCAGCACCGGAATGTCCCACACATCGCTGTGACTGTGTTTGTAAGACACTGGAGGATTGATCGCCTTCGCCAAGACCTACGCCGCCTTCTACGACCTGCAGTTCCAGTTGCATCTGGGGAGAATCACTCGGGACTACACCTGCCTGGCCCATGGCTGGCTCTGCCCATCCTTGCATCAAATCACTGCGAAGGCCGGGGCGGAAGGGTAGAAAAGCCAGGAGCACAAGAACATTGAAGAGTTGTGCTGTTTTTTTGGCAGATTTCTGCAGGCCCAGTAGCATGGCCTATCTTCAAGTTGCAGGGCTTCTTGGAGCAGAACCCCAACAGACCACAAAACGAGATGTGCTGCATTGTGGGTTTGGTGGAAAACCTGCTCCCATAACCTTATCCCGCCAACAGTGTTCATGCTTGGTGGCTACAAGGAGACCAGACACCCTTGCCCCGAGTACTGACGGGATATGTGTGACTGAAGACCCTAGACCTTGAAAAGATGATGCTGGGCCGGAATCCCGAACCAGAAAGTTGATGCTTGGTGGATAAAAACAGAGGCCAGAGCCTCGAAGCCACGAGCACTAAACGACACGTTGAGCGGAAGAGCCTATGTGAAAAACCTTACTCCTGGTCACTATGCCTCCGTGCCAGTGAGCATGCACATCACTTCGGACACCCGTGCTAACATGACGTGTGCATCTTAACGGCCGGGCACCTTCCGCGACCTAAACCATCCTAATTTCCTGCAATTCGTCTCCAGCCCTGCCTGGAAATGTCCGAGTGTGATGAGTGTAAAAGAACTTGAACGGTGATGCTTCACCCGAAACGGATCGGGAGCAGAACCTGCCGCACACCAAAAGTAAGTTTAAGTGGCTTAAGCCCCAAAGGGTGATAGTGGATCAGAAATTTGATGTCAATGGCCCTAAACCTCAAATTCGGGGACCAGAACCCCTGGCAGAACACTAAAAGAAGGGTTGCTCGGAAGAGGAGACTCTCAACATACCCTTGATCCAAAAATTTGACGCTTGGGGGCAGCACGGCTAAACCCTAACCGCAAAGGGAGACCAGAAACCCCCCCCAGGTCCCTAACACTACAAGCAAATGTTAGGCGGAAGACCTCAAAGCCCAATGGGGCCGCATCGCATCCTTAAACCCGAAGAAGCTGAGCCCCCGAGCCCCGCAGCCCGAAACTTGATGCGTTGGTGGCTAAACCCCGGCTCTAAGCGGAGACCAGGAAGCCTTGCCCCACACGCTATAGGAAATCTTGGGTGGAAGACCTTAAACCATAAGAAGGGTGTCTTCTAGGTGAATCTGCCTGGTAGGCCTCGTTAAAGAAGCATGAGGGACCAGTATCTTTGCAGACCTTGCCTTGTGATGTCTGAGGGTGAGTGTCAGTGAAGGACTGCGCCTCCAAACTTGATGCTTAGACCCCACAGCCCCGATCGTTGAACGGATATGTTTAATGAAGACACTCAACCCTCAAAAGGTGATGCTGAGCCGGAATCCCACTGTAAGCCGAAAAGTTGATGCTTGGTGAATCATCAGCCCAAAGCAGAGACCCGAGCGCTCATCAGCCCCAGCACTAAAGAGTATGTTGGGATGGAAGGCCGTAAACCCCGAAAAGGTGAGCGTGGTGAAACCTTAGCCGAAATGGTTATGCTTGTGCCTGAACCCGAAAACTGAACGGAGACCACAACCCTGTAGCCCCGAATACAAATGCTTCGTGGCCAAAAAATCGTGCTTTTCTCGTGACTAGTCGCTAGGCCACCCCCCCCCCCGCGGGGACCCCGGCCCCTTGGTGCGAGACAAGCGATAAACGATATCGCCCCCCTAGCCCGAAACGGAAACCAGAAATTAAACCAGCTCCGAACACCATAGCGAGATTTTGGGTGCAGGATGTTAAACCCTAAAAGGCGACGGTGGGTGGTCGGAAATAAGCCCGTTTAGGGCTTGGGGCGCCAGATGGAGACCAGAATCCCATAGCCCCGCATCGCACCAGTGAACGAGCAAGCCGTATTGCCTCAGTGCTGTTGTGCCGAGATGTTAACATCCACCTGCCGGATGGCGCAACGATGTGTGTGGAACTACCGATCACAGAACCAGCGACAGCTTGTGCAGTTTGAATGGGTGACGTGCTGAACTGACGAAGGGAGATGTTGGGTGAAAGCCCCGAAACCCTCAGGGAGTTCCCTAAACAACAAGCTAATCCTCGGTGGCTAGCCCAGCCCTCGCCGGAGACCGGAAACCCTAACCCCGCACCCTAAATGGAAGACCGAAAGCCGAAAGATGATAGACAAATACAGTGGGTTGGACGGGGAAGCCTCAAGCTGAGAGAGGGACTACGTATCCTCTGATCCAACACAATCCAGGCTGCGGTGCCACTCCGACCGACACACGCACCTCCAGGGTTGCTTTACACTTTTTTTTAACGGGCTCATCAGCCGGATAGAGGCACCTTCAGCGCTGAGGATTTTTGGGATTTCTGGTCTTGGCATCTTCGCGTCGCAGGTGCAAGCCGGCACGACAGGACCAACGATCTCGGGCGGCCGTGGAAAGTGGAGCCAAACTCGCCTGAAACTACTTGGCCGCTTGGTAATCCGCACTGATCTCGCAAAGACATCATGAGTGCCAGCGATAGTAGTCCCGCTCATATCATGACTTCTCTGCAGACATGCCTAGACATCTTTGGCACAGTATGACAGTGTTTACCTGCCGTTGCATCTGTGAGGGTGAGTGATGGCCCAATGCCCTGCTCGTCTCAGTCTCAGTTATAAGCTGTGTCATGTAAGCTCAAGACCCAAACAGGAGGCTTGAAGCTGAGCCGCAAAAGAACAGAGCTTCATTGCCTCCTAGGTTACATGAGGCATCCTGTGGGTGCTTTCAGCCACCTCATTCTACGGATTGACTCTTGGCTGCAACCCAGCAGTAGACGTCGCGTTGAGCCTGAACTTTCTCATGGAGTGAGAAAAACCAGCTAGCCGAAGACGAAATGCAAAATTATCTTATAATTCCTCAGAAGATGCAGTTTAATTAGATGTATTATTTCATGTTTTTACGTCAGGAAGTTTCCAGGATTCGCAATCCGACGGCCTCCTGAGGTCACAGGGAGGAAGCATCAAATCAGGCGGCTGGGAGTGCAGCATTGTGTTTACAGGGGACGGAAATTTTGGCCACACGTTGGGAAGTTTGTCGTTTTGGAGTTGGTGACGAGTCTTTCCAGAGCCGTCCTGCCGAAAGCCAGAGGAGCCACATGGCTTTCGTCGGTCACCCCACGGCCCGAGACAGCTACACAAGCATGGAGACATTCGGGGAGGATGCTGCGCTCTGCAACCGGAACTGGCTGCACAGACACCTGCTCAGCTTTCGAGATCAAGCCGGCAGTCCTCATGAGATTTGCTCACCGCTCCCACAAGACCTGAACCACACGTTTCAAACTGCATGTACAGTTCGGCAGATCTCGAAAAAGGATCGAGGGACAAACAACTGTTTGTTCGTGTTTTGTAGTTTGGTAGATTGCAAGGCCCGGGAATCAGTTCGTCGTGGTGATTTGCCTCGAGTGTACCAGCATTTTAGCTCAGGCTGTAATACAGGTAGCTATGGTGCTGACGAAGCTTTGCCACACTGACCAAGCTCGTTGTGCTCGCAGTGTTTTTCCCCAGCCAAATTGCTTCTTACAATAGGGTTCCTCAACATCAAACACATCAATTAAGGACTTCGATTCAACTCAAGCATTACATCCACAATTGTCCCTTCACTGTTGCCTGCAAGCCTTGTGTGTTTATAATTTGTTTGTATGACACAGGCCTCATGCAGGTGGTCGGAGGTGGCAGCGAGCATTCACGGTGAGGCTTACCATCCGATGCTTGGCAACGTTGCCAGCGCAACCCCGCCCATGGGGCGAATCTTTGCTGTTAACCGGGCAATGTCTCCGGCTGCTTCAAAACAGCATTTGGTCGGAGCCTGAATTGTGCCAACTGAATTCGTTGGTAATGTTGCAACTTTGTACTACTTTCCCTGAGGTTGTGGATTCGTGAGGCTGGCTGCCGCGATTTTGGATGCTCGCTTTGCTTGACCCGGCCTTGGTGTGCACCTGCGGAAGTCTCCTGCGCATTTTTCCACCAGTCACACTCGGGCAGAAGAGGCTGCCAGAGCTGACGCTGTGAGGCGTGAGGCGCATGTCACACCGTGAAAGCTTTTGCAGGATAGCGTGAAGTGTTGAACCACTTCCAGCCTGAATGTGGCAACTTGGTGGTGTCTTGCGTGAACCATTTCATAGTCATGGAAAGATGGTTTAGGCAGGGAGCAAACAGCGACTGCCCAGCCGTGCACCGCATTTGAGGCTATAGGATGCCGGTCCTAGAAGGGTTAGTCCGGGGAAGGTCTGGGCTTAGGCAGAGCCATCCAGAGCTTTGCAGGACTTCTTCGTCCAAATTGCAGGCCCGGTGCAACCACATGAGGATTTCCTTACAGTAGGCCGAGTCGGCGTTGACAAAGTAAGCCAGGGGAACCCGGTGCTTCTGAGGTCTTTCACTCTACAGAAGCTGCACCCTGCTGTGGGACCGCTTTAAGTCTACAAAAAGGGACTTGCAGGGAACACAGGGAGCGAACTTCAGCAGTCTGCTTTTCAGCTGTTGTCTTGGTCTGTTCCACCTGTCCCCGGCCCGGGCATGCAAAGTTGGGGAGGTGTCTCAGCTGTGATAAGCAATGCGAGCAGTCCAGGTATCTGACAAGTCACAGCTTTGTGAACAAGTTCTGGGGCTTGTGTTTCCGATGCTGCTGCCCTGCAGCAAAAGTCGGGGTCCGTCCATCAATGCAAGCATAAAGCTCCGCAGTGCTGTTGGAGGTTGCAGCGGATTCAACCCAGAAGCAGCACTAGCAAGCATTGATGGTGGTGGCATGTGTAAGAACTCCATGACGCTGGGTGCATTCAGCCCAAAGATTCTCTGCGCACCAAGCATGAAAGCCACGCGGGTGGTACACTCCCACCTCCAACTGCGTGGTTCCACTAGCACACTGCTTGCACTCACTCCTAAGCCGGAGCAGGGAACCTTCAAAAGACCACTGTTACCGACTCATGTGTTGAACGTTTTTTCATCAGCGAGCAAGGAACACCTAGGTGTGGGCCCAACGGCTCGTGCTGAAATTTCCTATATGCGGAAATGCGTGGAAACTACGCTGGAGGGTTTGTCTAGCAGGATTAGTCATGCAAGGCTCCGTGTGGTGTAGAGGTCCGTTTGGAGGCTCACAGGCAGTATCGGCTTACGCAGGTTCTCTTGCAGCTGGATCCACTTCCCAGTAGCTACGGGCCTTAGACTCTTGACGAGGCTGGTTTTGGAAAGGGAGGTCCGGCCACAGCTCAGAGTCAGCTTCCTGCAGATCCGACTGCTCTGCACATGTTTGGACTCACATGCCAGCTTCCAGTTCCTGGCAGTGGCACTTGGGGAATGCACAGTGAGAGAGGTCTCGGAGCAACGCAAGCGTACCCTCTAAGCAGTTTGGCCACGCTAAGCAGCTTGCGGAAACCAGTGCTGGGGTATGCCGCGGCATCAAATCAATTTTCAGGCTCTCTACAGCCCTTGCAGATGGGGGATACCGTCAAGGGCTCTTACCGTTCGCAGAAGCCGGAGGTGGCTTCTCGCGCGCTACCCGCATCCGCGCTGTGCGACTGCCCGGACATGCAGGCCTCAATCGGAGAAGCTGGTGCTCGTCTCGTCCTGTCCCTTCTCATGCTTCTCGAAAGTGTGCCATGAGAGCTCCAGCTCCTGCAGTCGCTGCCTCCTGCAGGCCCGAACCTGCGCGTCTATTCAGGCAGCTACGAGGCACACTTGGAGAACATCCTCGCGAGGTGAAGGGCCGGCTGCCGACGCCGTTTTATTCCATGTTGGCGAAGCTGGACGCACCACAGACCCCAAGCACCAAGCCCCAAATCCCAAGTCCTAAACCCCATGCAACTGGCAAAAACACCAAGAGATTTTGAAACCCAAAAACACCCTGACTCCTCCAGCGCGTTTGCTTCACAGCCGCTTGGCCGGCTGATGAACCCCCGGGCACGACCTCGCAAACTGCGGTTGCGTGCCTTCCCCAAGCTCTTCCCGCACAGGAGTTCCCTGGCGAACGTCATGCTTCGAGGAAGACCATGCCTGTCAGCACCCTCTTCCTGCTAGCATCGAAGTGGAATGGGGTGTAGGTTCTCTGCCCCAATCTTCTTGTTCCGGTAACTGCTTTCTTGCTTTCACTTATAAGCAGCGCGTCGGAAAATTCAGCAGGCCATGGTTACAGGCGCATCTGCTGAATCTGTTTTCATCAGCAAGAACAAGGCGTGCAGCCTAGGTGTGGGCCCAGATGCGCGCTGAAATCTCATATTTGAGGAAGTCTGTGAAGACCCCGCTTCCTCAGAGCTCGGCTAGCAGGTGCAGTTATACATGCCTTCATTTCCCTCCTGTTCTGTAGAGCTACATTGGGAGGCTCACGGGCACTGCTGGTTGCTATGCTCTGAAGTCGGCGCAACTTCCCAGTAAAGGAGCAGTGCTTAGACTCCTCTGGGGGCTGATCATGGAAAGGGAGCTCCGGCCGAAGTCAAGCTTCCTCCCGACCAACTATCCTCAGGACAAGCACACCCCAGCCTCCGTTTCTTGGCCAATCGGAGCCATGGAAACGCCGGAATTTCCATGCTAACATGCGTAGTTGCAGGCCATGGGCTTGACCGGAGGAGTGCGGCGGCCACGCAGTGAAAGGCAGTGGTTTGGGAAGGAACGGCTTGTGCAGGTTCCGTTCCTTCTTCCGTGAACGTGGGGGATGGGCAAAGCCTGTGCCGAGCACACACTCGCCGGAGCGATGCTGGAACGGAGTTTGCATTGCTGGGTGTGCGCTCGATCGCACCGGCGAGCACGGACGAATCACGGTGCAATGGTGGGGTCGCATGGCTTTCATTACCCACTGTGCTTTTTAGATTGACATCCGCTTGAACACAGCAGGTGCTGCCGAGCCTCTCTGTTGAAGAAAGTGTTGCAGATGTGAGGACTGCTTCCCTTAGAAGTGGGCTGTAGCTTGAGGACGCAGCACAGCAGCCGGTACCATCGCTTTTCAACGTCTGGCAGATGCCCGTACGCGGGCTGGAGCTCACCCAGAGCTTGCACAGTCAAGTCGTGGACCCCGGGCCCTGCATTTTGGCCTGAGTCCCAAACCTGAGCACCAGAAACCTCGCCCGGTACTGTTGGTCGGAACTTCATCTTTTTGGACATGGGACTGGTAAGGCATAGAACTGCGCTGCTTGAAGCTGTCTCGGTTCTACACGTCGCGGTCCAGGCGGCGCGGATGCTAAGCATTCGTCCCGTAGCGCGGTGTTGGCTCCAAGGATGTTTGCCATCAATGACGCCACTATTAATGTGCCTCAGCAGGTCCTAGTGGCACTTGGGGCCAATATGTGACACTTTGCAACAGCTTCTGAGTCGACTCGAGCATCAGTTCGGCGTCAGCAAGCCTCCACCGTTTTGTTCTAGCTCAACTAAGCAGTAGGCTGCCGGCTCACTTGCCAAGAGAAATAGCTTGTTAGGCGGCTGCTCAGCAACAGGTGCTTGTTCTGCACTCGACATTCAGGCGTCGCTGAAAGCGTTTTCGGCGAAAGTATCTTGCCGCACCCAGCGTTGGAGCTGCTGTGTTTGGTGTTCAAGAGTAAGAGGATCGCTGTTGCTGCCGGATCATGATTCAGTTGACATCATGGTTCGACGACCTTGCATTGTCACCACCAAGATGGTGATGGAAGCTGTGACCGCTGCTGCGCCTAGGGCCTTGGCAACAGCAACACGTCCTGGAAGAGGCGGCGCATGTGAAGCACACTCTCCGTGGTCCTCTGGTAAAGCCACATCGTAGCCCGGAGCGATGCTGCTTGCCAGCAGCAAAACTCGGGTGTGTTGGAGAATCACACTTGCGATGTATTGATTTGCTCGGAATCTCCAACCTTATGTTGCCAGATGCAGCACTCCATGGACTTGTGTTTTCGTCACGGTAAGTAGTCCTACTGTTCTCTCGACTGTACCCTGCCGGGAATAATCGCTAGCGACTTAAAATCGTACGCGATCTAGATCTAAAATCACGGAGCCCAAATCATTTGGAATATGGTATTGT